AATATCAATATAACTCTTCCCGAATTGACTCAAGAGACGATTAAACCTTCAAATGAGTGAGGCTATGATACCAATTATTGAATTAATCGATCGACGAAATAGCCAAGAGGGGGTGAATTGACAATTAAAATTTTGGTGGAAGCTTTTGCAGAAAATATAAAATAATTGCACAACGATTTAGAGTGGTTCGACTTTCTCAACAAAAGTCTACTTCCACTACCTTAGCTATCCACACTAAGGATTTTCCATAAAATCACTAATGTGTCTTTCTTTTGAGGACAAAGAGTAACCTTACAACTCCCTCAAAAATTATACCCCAACTCTCCCAAAGAGAACAATAGAAATTTAGCAAACTTACAGAAAAACCTCACAAGGCAAGATGTTTGCTCAATTCTAGAACAAAGAAAGAACACTAAAAAATGAATACAATTGAGCACAATAAGTGTTTTTGAAAGCAAAATGAATATTGAATGAAAATTTGGCTTGAAATGCTCAAACTTGAGGTTTGATGTTTTCTCTTTGATTTTCTAGTTTCTCTTATTAACTGTTGTTGATCAATGGCTCCTAAGCTTGTTTAAATACACCTTGAATCACTTATGAACGTTGGGGATCATTGGTGAAGTCAATAGAGTCGTTATTGTGTGAAAACAATTAAATAAAACAGTTGGGAGCATGTGTGCATCAGTACACCATCAGGGTGTATCGGTACACTATGTGTAAAATTCAAATATTTCGACTGTTATAAGACTTAGTGCATCGGTACACTAGGGGCGATACACTAATTACATTCGATGTTTCAAAAGAGCCAGGAGTGCATCGATGCATGGTCTGTGCATCAGTACATAAAATGCATTCGATGTTTCAATAAATTCAAGAGTGCATCGATGCATGGTTGTGCATCGGTACACAAAATGCATTCGAAATAGGGTGTGCATCGATACATCAATGAGTGCATCAGTACATCCCTTTGAAAAATTAATTTTTGGCTTGATTTTTGGCTCGAAATACTTTGTAAAAATTGTTTCAAAAATATTTTAAGTTTAAAACACAAATTTACACTTTAGTAAGAATTGAAATTGATCTTTGAAAAAGTTGGAGTAGTATTTTGATATTCAAATAATTGAATCGAATATACTCTAAAAATGATTTATAAAGTCTTAAAATTCAATAACACTTAATTTGTTATATCGAAACTTCAAAATATTTTCAACAGATCATTTGTCTACTTTACCCTAAATTTAATCATAAAAGTCTATGTATTATATCAATTTGATTACGAACCTATAAATTTTAAATTTTAGTATATACATATAGTGTCCATTTCATTCTAATTCTAAAAATTAAAAAAATATCATCACATGAAACTTATTTTTAATGATTCAAATGAATAGTTTGTAATGTTTTAAAGTAGAGTGCCCCAACTAAAACCTAGTAACAGTCGGTGACTATCTGGATAGTTTACCATTATTAGACATGTGGCATGACACGTGAGGGATATGGCGGAAAAAGGATAAAGAATTGTTTGGCAGAGAATGGGCGTTTTATAAGTGGGTGGTTTAGTTTCGTCAAAGCAGCAAATTACTTGTCATAATGACGTCATATACTCAATAACAACGTCAGGTTAGGACTGTTTTCTTTGGCCAAATTATGGTTTTGACCCCTTTATGATATTTAAATTTTAAAATGATATAGTTTGGATTTTATTAGTTAATTTAAAAAATTATTATTTTTAGCTATTTAAATTAAAATAATTCTCATTTTACTAATATAATTTTTTAGTGATATGACTTTTTACATTGAAGTTATTGTTTTTAAGAAAAATCTAAAAAAGGTATTAAAGAAATATACTAGAGTTAGAGTAGACATATTGATATGAAGTTTATTTTTATATTTAATATAACATTAAACTTTAGTTTGATAGAAAATAAAAAAAATGATTCATTTAAATTTTTAATCTGATTACTATAATATTAGTAAAATGAAGGGACAGAAAGTCTAAATCCTATCGAGAAGTTCTACAGTGCGGTACCTTAATATAAGGCTAAAATAAGTCGTTACTGGTTTTGTTATTATTTAAATAACAAAACTAGTAAAAAATTACTTAAAATATCATTATTTTTATCTAAAACACCAATTTTTTTAACATTTCCGGTAAAAATACCCAACGATAACAAAACCGGTAGCGCCTAATAATGTTTCTGGTCATTTTTATCAAATCCGGTAAAATGCCCAATAATAAAAAAATCGGTAGCGCCTAATAATGTTTATGGTAATTTTTTTATCGATTTTATTATTTAAACAATAACAAAATCGATAGCTCCTTATTTTAGCCTTATATTAAAGCTGTCGCACATTTTCCAATCCTACTACAAAGGGACAAAAGCCATGATTTGACCTATTTTTCAGTCGGTTTTCAAACATGTCTTCTAGTACGTGAAAATCGGAAGCACCCTTGATCATTCTCTACGTTTCTTAATAATTTAAAATGATTATAAAATAATATATGTTTAGAATTTTATTTAATTATAGATAATATATACACATGTTGTAGATGTATCTACTCAATCTTAAAATCTCTAAGGTGTTTGTTCAAACCTGAAACAAACTTAAAAGTGACGGAATTAAATAAAAAAATCTACAATTTTTTAGATGTTGAGATTTTTTTTAGATTTACGTAATTTTAGGTGTTTATTCAAAAATATGAACAATGAAAATCATTTTTTCAAGAAGACAAATAACATACCACAAAATTAGTCTCATAGGATGTTCATCGAAAGAGATCGAAGTATTAATACATCGAACTTTTCAATAGATTTTCGTCGATTTTGAGTGAATTTCATGAAAAATCAATATTAGGAGAAGAAAGATGAGCGAAATACAAACGTTTTGGTACTGATATTGTCATGAAATATAAATAGGACAGTGTTGGCTATCGGTTGCGACTGAAAAGTGTAGTGCTAAGAAAGAAAAGTGTTTAAAAGTTCAGTGACAAAATCGATACACCCTAAAATTCAGTTTGTAAAACGATGTTGGTTTAGGCATTAGAACAATCGAGTCAAAATAATGTAATTTTGGTGTGGCATGCATATCAACGGTCTTTAGTTATGTCATAGTCTCGTTACTGATTTAACGGCGGAGTGATATAATTAAATGTAAAATTAAAATTTAATGTTATAATTGACAAAATAAAAAATTTAGTGATATAAACGAGTCAGTACACAAAGTTTAATGATATCTGAAGTAGTTTTCCCTTAACCTCCAACTCTTTAGAATTTTTTTCATATATAATTTTCTTCACTCTACCCAATTAATACTCTATCCTATTTTTTATACAAATAAAAGAAATTGATTTTATTAAAAATATAAAATACTTAAAATAAAAATGAAGGATTAGAACCATAAACGTAAATTAAACACATAATTAGAATATTTTCTATAACCATTGACACAAGAAACCAGTCACTAAAGATCATTCAAGGATCATAAAAGGAAAAAAAAACTTAAAACATATCCAAAAAACTGAACAAAATATATGTACGAATAAATAAACTACAACAAGAGATTAAACTACTGAAAGACAACTGATAATCGCAAATTATAGCCAAACATTGTGAGAAAACTATATTCGACCGTAAATTGTGTATCCAAATCCAATATGAGGGTGTAAAGTAGGAAATATCAGTAGGATAACAAATAAGCACCATCTTGATCAGTAGAGTCGACGTCAAATTTAATCTTAAAAAAATAAACAAAGAATACGGTCAAACGACCAATAAAAAAGATCGAAAGCGTGTCAAAATTCAAAGGAAAGGATGCCATAAAGGCATAATTATTAAAAAAACAAATAAAAAAAAACAAAGATGAGATATAAGAAATTAAAAGAAAAACAAAAAAATATTGCAATTGACTACCAACACTAAAATTAATATCACCGTCAATCAAATAAAGATGAAAAAAAAGACAAATGGTGCAAAAGTAAAGATAAAACTAGAGTAAGCACTAGATCATTTTACCACATTAAAACTTTACCCTTAAAATCATCTTTTGTAAAATATTATAATATAATTTTAAATAATATTTGATCTATTAAATAACATTACAAATACTAAAAGTATAAATATCATATATAATTAAAAATAAACTAAATCAAAATCAATTATTATCATACTATTATACATAACAAAATTTAATAATTTTTTGAGTAATTTTAGGTTAATATAAGGCGATATTTGTTCAAAAGTAACTCTCAACCATTTGATGTTAAATGCTCATACTCTTAACTTTTATGGTGCTTAAACTTAAAACCTCAAATAATAACTAATTCTTTTACCATCAAACTCGCTTGATACGTTCAACTCTACTAATAATATTTAAATAATAAAAGAATACTTATCAAATCTACCAACTCAAATATTTTTCACTCATTTTGACTTGAATGTAATCAATCATGATCAAGGTGGTGTGTGTAGGGATGAGCATGAGTTCGGTTTTCGGTCAACCCGATCTAATTTAAAAATTTTATTTCTTTCACCCGAAATTTGATCTGATTCGAGTTAACAATAATTTTACTCGATTCAAAATCGATCCGACTTTTGAGATAAAATTCGACTTTTACCTGACCCGATCTAAAATAATATAAAAATTATTAATTTTATTTAATAAAATAAAAAGTATATAAAAAATTATATAAAAAATGATAATATTACAATTATACTTAAATATATAAAATATAATTATATTATTTTTTAAATCGGGTAGAGATGAATTATTTTTCATCATAAACTTAAATTTGAATTTGAGCTAATCCATTTCAAACCTGATTTCTTTTTAAAAAAAATCTAACTCAATCTAATGGTATCAGGTCAAAACCGATCGAATTGGCTCCCGTGCCCATCCTAGGTGTGCGTTACTACCACCGCAGCACTCAACTACCCCTGAATCAGGGGTGGTAGGTAAGAAGATTCAGAAGTTTTAAGAATGGCAGACTACTCAACTACTTTCTACATCTGTCATTGCCATTAACAAACCCATCCGCTCCTTCGCCTACCTCTCTGTATATCTGTTCTTCCATTTCCATTTTTCTTCGCTAATTTTACTTCTTTCGTATGCCTCTCCGTCTCTCTAAACACTATCTGTAATTTCATTCCTTTCAGGCTTCTACTTCTCTCTTTTGCTGTCATTCTCAACCCCATTTCCCCCCTTTTCTTTGCAGTTTGTGGATTCTGGCTTGATCAATCAGTTCTGGCGAATCAAATGGCAAAAGAAGTTGTTAATCCCGATGAGCCGGTAATCACTCCCTTTTACTGATTCGATTTTACCAGCTTTTTTTTCTTTCAAATTTTAAGAGTACTTGCTATGTTTTTTTTTTTGCATGCTGTACTTAGCTCAGAAATAATGGTTTTTTAAATCAATTAAGGTCGTTGTTGGAGAGGAATTAGACCGTGTAAGAATCATCACTTTGAACAGGCCTCGGCATCTGAATGTCATATCATCCAAAGTGGTATGTAATGTTCAACACTTCATCCAAAGTGGTTTTATTAATTTAAGCTGCATTTTCCTTTGGGCTTTCATTTAAGTTCTTCAAGTCAAATCTTCTGAATTTCTTGTTTCTTTCATCGTAATCAGGTCTCTCTGCTAGCTGAATACTTTGAAAAATGGGAAAATGATGAGCAATCTCAGCTTATACTGATCAAGGTCGTTAAATTGGGTCATTCCGGATGGTTCCTAGTTCTGGATTTCTCAGTCAATATGTGTTTTATTTTGTTAATTTTATAGTGTTTTTCGTTTTTAAGCAGGGAGCCGGTCGTGCTTTTTCTGCTGGCGGAGATTTAAAAATGTTCTATGAGGGAAGGAAATCAAGTAAATGTTCTATTGGTCTTATATTCTATTATGTTTTAAACTATGTTGTGTGGATATGAGTATGGGATATTACCTTCCAAATACATGGAATATTTGAAGAAATTTGAACATATTCATATTTGATAATACTAATATCCGACACTCTCACCGAAGTCAGAGTAACATAAGTTTTGAATTCTATTACTTTCTGAATATATTACTTGCCGAAGCCAGAGTAACACTTTCTGACTGCTCATACATGCGCATAACATTATGAATTTTAACTTGTAATGAATTATTCTTTTGACAGGGGATTCTTGCCTTGAAGTGGTCTATCGAATGTATTGGCTTTGCTACCACATTCATACCTATAAGAAAACCCAGGTGTTTTTTTTACCTTTTAAATCTCCACACTGTATTCCCATACCATGCACAAGGAATTCATTGAATGTGAGATCTGCATCACTGTGTAAAGCTACCAGTCTAATTGATATGTCTTGTTTGACAGGTTGCTCTTGTTCATGGAATTTCAATGGGAGGTGGTGCATCATTCATGGTCCCAATGAAGTTCTCAGTTGTAACTGAAAAAACTGTGAGTATATTGTCATTATCTAGACATTACATAAATCAATGCTTTCAAGTTTACCTTTCTGTTATCTGTTACTGCATTGACATGCTGAATCTTCTGTATGTTATGCTTTTAAATGCTTTGTGTTTAGGTCTTTGCAACACCAGAAGCAAGTATTGGTTTTCATGTGGACTGCGGTTTCTCGTACATCCTTTCACATCTTCCTGGCCATTTGGGTAAGAATGACTTACCAAAGTAGATATGGATATGTATTTGGTTTCGTTTGGTATTCAATTGAGATTATTTTGTCATTCATTACAGGAGAATATTTAGCTTTAACAGGAGCTAGGCTAAATGGTAAGGAATTGGTTGTAGCTGGACTAGCAACCCATTTTGTCCCACTCGAGGTGAGTTTTGTTATCTATGTTGCTTTGAATCTTCATTTTTCATGAAATACCCGTAATAGAACACAAACCTGGATATAGATATGGAGATCTAAGAGTTATATCTCCAAGGGCTCTCCAAATGCATGGAAAAACTTCGAAACAATATTGTGTTAGATACATGTTTCTACTATTCACACCCAAGTTCGAGTAAACCTAAACTATGGCTATGTAACAGCTGTGAGATTAATTGTACACAAACAATTAGCATAAATTGCTTCCTCTCCTGTCAAATTAACCACCCAATCAAATCTGAACTCAATCTTAAGTTGATTTCATGATTTAATTCCGTCCTTGGATCACATTCCATCTATGCTCACCATATTTAATCCATTTTCTTTTGTCCTGCTGCTGGCGCAAGCTTTGAAGATTTACCTAACATTTCTCTTTAATCATGCATTATTAGCATTAACTTTTGGGGTTCACTTCAAACAAAAGAAAATATACGTTATCTTCCTATTTCAAAAAGTCATACATTTTTCAATTTATAGGGAGAGGCTTGGGTGGGAAGCTGATATCAACTTTGTTCTAACGCAAATTTAAATGGTATATGGCTATCTTGAACTTGGGTGTGATGTCGGAAGTGAGTATGTGTTCGACACATACACATATGTTCAATTTTAAAAATATAAAGATTTTTATGTACTTGAAGGGCCTTGAAGGATCATATACCCTCATACCATGTCATCAAGTATGGGTATTGAGTACTTATACTTCATAAAAAATGAAGAGTCGTACATATGAAATCAGCCAACCATGCTGAAATTAGTAATGCTCTACTGTTGAGGATATATAAAAGGAATAATAACGTACAAACAAATTCGTTCTCTGACCAACTTGGTGAACTTTATTTTCTCTTTTTATATTGTACTTTGAAAACATCTCATCATTTTAATTTTAACGAAGGATTTGATTTAAAATTTAGATATTTCAATCTTTGTACTTGTGGACTCAAATCAATGAGGTGTTTTTCTCTTTTTTAGTCCTTTTAAATCAGCAAATTGTCTATGTTTCCCCCCCTTAGATTTAGTAATATGGAATGATAACAATTTATTTTCTATTGTAATCAGAGACTTCCTGAGCTAGAGAAGTGCCTGATTAGCTTGAACGTTGGGGATAAGAATGCAGTCAAGGCTACAATCGAGGAATTTTCTTTACATGTGCAGCTTGATGAAGACAGCATTTTAAACAAGTAAGAAAACCTGTGTCAACTTATATTGCTCCCACTCTTCATTTTCTTTGAAGCATCTTTGACACTGCTGTTTCTTATACATATTCAAACATAGGTATGAGATACGACTCTCTAAACACATAAAACTTAGAACAAATTGGATGTACCTGTATCGGATATATTACCATATTCGATACTCGGGTGCATAGGTTTCAACTAGAGTGTAAATTTGGAAAGGATCATTGACCTCAGCACTAGTGAAAGCTGATAGTTTTTATGACTTTCCAGGAAGCAGATAATTGATGAGTGTTTCTCAAAGGATACTGTTGTAGACATTATAAAATCATTTGTAAGTTATTTTTCTTCTTTAATCTCTGAACATGGAAAATAATAGTAATATAGTTTTAATTGGCAAAACTCACCATAATATTCACTTTGTTCGAATGTTCTCTGACAGGAAATGGAGGCGGGCAAAGAGGGCAATGAATGGATTGGTCCTATACTGAAAGGGTTAAAAAGTTCATCACCAATGGGATTGAAAGTAACATTGAGATCGGTAATAGTTTTTTACTTTATCGAACCATTTAATTCATATATTTCACTAGTTTGCGGAACTTTGACATAAATGATAAGTGTTTGATAGAGATTTAAGTTTACTTTTTGGTAGAGGATGAGAATGAGGCTTCAAGTATTACCAACTCGATATAAATTCATTGTATTATGTTCCAACACATTTCTACTAACAACATGGTGTCTAATCTTGACTTCGATGCATAAAAGCGTCTATCTTTTCATGTTAAAATTGATGAATTGTCTTGATTTCAAACACTAGATCAGTGACTTCATCAAGATCTTTCTGATGTCTATACACGAGTGTCACTGTCGTTTTTTTTTTTCAAGTGGTGGAATATGGAATTGGTATCTACTAATAAACACCACTGGTTGACTTGGTTTTTCTCCAAATTGTAGTTAATTACTGAGTTTTCATGATATCTTACCATTACTTATTAGATTGATATTTCCAGATTCGTGAAGGGAGGAAGCAGACGCTGGCTGAATGTCTGAAAAAAGAATTTCGACTAACGATGTGTATATTACGGACCACAATATCTGCAGATGTCTATGAGGTAGATGTTGAGTTTAACCAATTATGGAAACTTAAAAAATGAGCTTCTTCTAACTTAGTGAATGGATTTTCTTCTGGTTTTTGTTGAAAGGGTATTAGAGCCCTCACCATTGACAAGGATAATGCACCAAAGGTACTCCTTTTCGCTTGAAATACATACCTTTCAATTCATGTCTGGTGCAAATCCAAATATGGGTACGAGGATATGACCCTCCTAGAATCCTCCGAACACATGAAAAAACTTAGAAAAATTAAACATATTTGTACCCAAAACATGTTTTGGTCACATGAAAAACCTTACACTGGATGTAATAACTCGCGAGTTTTATTGATCGTTTTCTTGTTAGACATTTTGAACTTGGAAAGAATTTGTAATCAATATATATTATCACTTGATGAATTTTTCGAACCTGATAAAATCAATAACTAAGATTCTAAGAGGAGCTCCAAGCATGTAGTAACTTATCCTGTGTCAAACTGCTACAGTGGGATCCACCAGCTCTTGAACAAGTGGATGATGAGAAGATAGACCTACTATTTCAGCCATTTCCAGAGGATTTGGATCTCGGAATTCCTGAACAGGAAGACTTCAGGTGAGTACAACCTAGATTGCTTCATTTTTCTTGAAATACACTGTGCATCATGTATATATAGAGTATGGAGATATAACCTTCCGAGTTCCAAATACATAGAAAATGTATAGAAGAAATCGAATGTACTTGTCTCGGACACATTCCTATATTGAACACTTGTATCCGAGTTTGAGTAACATAGGGTGTTTGAGTCCTCTCATATACTAATGTCAGGATTTTGCTAGGACTGATCTTTTTCTCCTTTTTGTCATCTGGTATGTTATCCAAACCAAATAATAGGTGGGATGGAAAATACGAGAACTCGGTATACGCAAAATGAACAAGCAACGAATGATGTGGATGAAGCACAATAAAAAGTTGATAGTCCGAAGCTGCTTCTTTCTAGGAAACTCTCCAATCTCCATTAAAGCAATCTTATTACGTTAGATAACAGGTTTTATTATCCATTTCAGGGTTCATTTTCTGTGTTTAACTATCGAATTTTTCCTCTCTGAATAAAGTTGGAAATTATTCTTAAAAGCTCACATGCATGTTGGGATTTTCTTTTTGGGTGTTTTCTATAAGTTTTACTGTTCATGCTTGAGATTCATGTCATTTTCAAGATCTTAATTTGAGTTCTCTTTAAAAATCTAACGTGCTTTATTATTGTATCCGATACTTATTAATTATGTAATCATGAGTTGATATATAGTTTTATTTTTTAATATTTATATATTTTAATTCGTAATCTCTTTTATGCTAAAAATATATATATTAAATATAAATATAAATATAATAATGATACAAAATTAATTATGTGAGATGTAATGTTAGAATGTAGATGAATATAATTCGTAATCACTTCGCTCGATTTTCTCTCTAAGCTTTACATTCTTTAAAAGCTTTCTTGTTTACGAGTTCCATTACTATAATCCAATCTAATATTCAGATGTACGAATTTTGGAAATACTTGATTAATTTTAGGGTATCGTGATTATACTGACTGAAACAAGTTTGTTTTCAAGACAATAGTTTACTACGATACAGTTTGCAAATCTCTTTTTACTTATTTTTATCATAATTATGTTAGATCAAAATCCATAATTATGGGCACCTATTTTTAATGTACATTGTTATCATAAAATATGACATAAATTAAATGACCAATTATGTTTTAAAGTCATAAAATTTTAGAAGTATTATTGAAATAAAAAGATAGATACTATCAAAGTTGTATTTATAATTCGATGATGGGCAAAATTATAAGTACAAGCAGTAACTGATTCTTAGATCAATTATACAAAGGGGTTATGGTCCCCAAGAAATAAATCATCCCGTATTTTCTCTTATCTCCGTTAGAGAGTTTATACTTAAGATAATTATATCTTCTTAGAATATCACAACCAAGACAATCTTCAAGATCTCAACCTTCTAGATAATCTCCAACATTGGATTCAGGTACGTTTCCACAAATATAATTTATTTTATTACTGATAGTTTGACATGATTAGATCCTGGTTGTTTATTATTTATTATGATTTGATTCTAACAAGTAGTATCATCACTTTGTCATGTCAAATCATTAAGAATTATATGATTGAAATTATTAGTTTATTAATCTTATTTTGATTTACTGTACGATAATCTCATAAACGCATATAATATATGAATATTCGTGCTATAAATTTTAGGTTATGTTGTGATAACCCATTCACGTTTTGGTTTATGTTGTTAGTATATATATATGTATTTGGGTTAACGGTTTTTAATTCAGGTTTTGATTGGCATGAATTTATGCCAAATAAATTGAAACTTTTTGATTAATTATTGAAATTAGTTTGATTATTAATGTAGTTTACTTTTAGGGCGCTTATAATGTTTATTTCTTGAATTATCGCTCGTATATATACATTCTGCGGCCAAAATAACATGAGGAAATCTCCTTGAGTAAACTATTTATAGGGTGTAGCCTAGCATGCCTGCTAAAGTGGGGGGTTTTAGCCCTTGCATTAAGCTTCCACATATTTGCTTTCTTTGAACCTCCATATGCTTCGCTGGATTTGGCTTTTGATTGCATTCGGATTGATGGTTTTGGCTTTGGATTTAATTTGGGCATGCTATTATCATAATTTGTGACTATTTGGTTATGGTTTTATGTACCGAGTGTTGGTTAATTTGGTAAATGAATTATTAAAAATTACTTAAAAATAGTTAAAATTTTATGTTTTTGATTTCTAATAATGTCTTTTTAGACAACCTTATTATGGGTTACTTCAGAAATCATGACGTGATTTGAAAATCCAGTTTTGGTTTTTTATTGTTATGGATTATATAATAATTTTGACGTTAATATATTCGATTCAATTTGATTAAGATTTAATTCACTAGTATGTATTTTGACCTTGACTTTTGGTTAAGTATTGATTGTTTTTTGAATTCGGTTCGTCTTTGGTAATTTACGGAGTTATGAATTAAATGAATGTTTAAGGAATTTTTCAGAAACAATCAAAGACTTAAGTTTTCGTTTTTTTATAGCACCATTTATGTAACCTTATTTTGGGTTATTTCGGATATTGTATGCAATCAGAAATTTCAGTTTGACCTTTAATTGTTATAGAAATATTAAATTTGAATATTTATCTTTGTTTTGAGATGACTTAATTGAAACAATAAGTCGTTAAAGTGACATCAATTATGAAAAATATTTTATTTTAAATATGAAGGGATGTATGCATGTAACTTAGGATGTGTTAGTATTGGTCGGCCCAAAAGAAGATTAATAGTTGACATAATTGTATATACACTTCGATAATAAGCATGTGATAATTATTCAATTTGATGTGAGTATTAAATCGGTCCAAAGGAAGATTTTTGCTTGACATGTTCTTATTATCAGTGTTGGTTACCGCACTAGACATCACTTAAGGTGGATATCTTGTCTAAAGATGAAATATTAATAGAGTATTTGATATCTTGAGATGAGGTTCAATGTTATTCAAATTTAATATTATTTTTGTTCTCTTTACATAAAAGATAAAATTAAGAAAAATTGGATTTGTTTATAATATTTTTATGGTTTTATTTATATTGTTAATGCAATATATTTATATATTCAATTTGGTTTGATCAAAATTTCAGCTTTGATTTTTGGTTATTAGAATATATATATTGAGACAAATTAATTCATATTTTGGCTAGGTCTAATATTTTGGTAGATTAGTTGAAATAAAATGCCGCCAAAGTGACATCTTTTGTGTAGACTGATTTATTCGAAATATCAAGATGATTATGTGTTTCTTGTAATTCATGCATTTATTAATTGGCCCAAAGTAAAGTTAATATTTGACCGAATTTCAAGCGACACTTGTGATAATAATATGTGACAATTATAAGATATTTTATGTGAGCATTACACTAGTCCAAAAATTAGTATATTTTTTGACATAGGTTATTGTCAATGTTTGATTACTACAACAAGAGTACCGTTTACAGTTAATATTACTGTCCAAAGACTTGATATTGATGTAGTGTTTGGTGTCTTGTGATGAGAATTAGCCATTATTTTTGAATTTATTTGTTTACTTAAGAATATCAACGTGAGCTTAAAGTTTATTTATGTTTTTTCTATATTAAGCTAATTAGTTATTTATTGCTATTACAATATTTGCTAATATACATTTTATACATATGCTTAGGAAAACAAATCTAAAGGAATGGAAAAATGCACTTACATAAGGTTTTGGTTGTATGAACATAGACTTTGCACAAAGGAAAGAATAATTTCCACCTCTCATGGTGGATAACATCCGTAATTGATATAACATATTTTGAGAGGTGAAATTTGTTCTAGTTGAATGAGTCTAGTGGTCATGAAGTAACAATATTTTTAAGCCTTTAGGGTCACATAATTTGCAAAGATTATTCAGGCCAATGGTTTTCTTGACAAAATTGAGAATGTTTTCCTAAAAACAATGAGGTTTACATGACATCACTTTGACTTCTTTGATGTCTATAAAGTATAAGGGTCAAGGAAATGTGACGGAGTACATTATGGATATGCTTCATATGCTTCAAGACTTAAGGAACTTAAGATCGAGTTTTTCTAAAGAACTATTGTTCTTGTGATTTCAGTATCACTTCCTATAGAGTTTAATCAACTGAAAGGGAGAAATGAACTCTAAATGAGCTCATTTTCATTGTGTGGGAGGAAGAAAGTTTGAAGCATAATAAGTTTGAAAGTACTCATTTGAAAAGTGCTTATAAAGATAAGGGAAAAATAAAATCAGAATGTAGTTGTTAAGAGTCCAAGTCAAAAGAGACAATAATATGTTACAAAAGGTTGTTGTCTTTTTGAGATAATTTAGGACATATGAGGAGAAAATAAATTCTAAAACAGTAAGCAACTACTTTAATTATTCTGAGTGATCCAGGGGTTATAAGTTTATGATCTCATAATTAGGAATATTTTTAAGTTCATAACTATAACATATTTTGAGGATGTTGAGTTTAGATGGAGAAATAAGGTTTCAGGAATTTCTTTTGAGGGAGAATTTAATTATAACTCAATTCCTATTATCATTTTTGATTATATCCATGTGTTAATACATGTCGTTAATCAAGATGTGAATCTAGAACCTCAATAAGATAATATTGAACAACTCTCCATTTAAGATTAGAACTTGTTACATAAAAAAAACTAAACAACCTTAAAGAACAAGTGTCATTTTGAAGATACAAGACATGAAAGAAATATTATTTTAGATTATTATGTTTCTACAATAAATAAGGATGATAGTGGAATGATGGATGATGATTTAATCAACTTTCGTCATGTCATATTCCGGCTCTCAAAAGTGGATTAATATCTTGTAAGAAGAGTATAAATTTTATACAAGATAATAAAGTTTGAGAACTTGTCTCATTACCTGAAGGTACAAAGATAATTGGTTGCAAATGGACATTTAAAATTAAGATGGATGTAAAAGGTGACAGGTATAAGACATATTTTGTATCTAAAGGATATACTCAGAAAGAATGTATCAATTTTGTAGAGATTTTCTTTTTTTGATTTCATTGAAAGAATCTTTCAGGATAATCATGATACTTGTTGCTCATATTTGGTCTTGAGTTACATAAGTTGGATTTCAAAATTGTGTTTCTAAATGGTAACATTGATGAGATGGTTTATACGATGCAATTAGAAAATTGTGCCTAATGATACAAAATTAATGTTATGCAAATTAAGGAAATCCATTTATGAGTTTAAGTATAACTCCCGTTAATTGTATAACAAATTTCATCAATTGATTATCTCGTTTGGTTTTGAGATAAATTTGATTGAATATTGTATATACTACAAGTTCAATGGGAGTAAACCAAGTGATACCTCTTATTGCTAAAAGAATCAAGTATAGTTTTGATTGGTTCCCTAAGAATAATTTTGAAACTAAGGAAATGCAAAAAGGTTCCTTATACTTTAAAAATAAATAAAGAGTTTAATGTATACTTAGGTTTGTATTCAT